GAAAACAGGTGGAAATGGGTGGATAGCATATGAAAATTTGACCTAGACTTTTAACCACAGCAAATAAGTCTGGATTCCCTTTGAAGGTAGAGCCTGTGGATTTTGCTGTGATAAAAAGCTTGGTTCAAATTTTTATATCTATCCCAATTGTTTTCCGTGCTTGCCCTTTGCATTTTGACCAGTGCGAGTTAGTCACCTGTCAGAAGTAGTGCGGAGAAGCGAGCGTCATCGACTCAGGAAGATTTGTGGTTGCTGTGGTGCCTGTGCGGAAAACAAACCTTATCAGCCGGGATCCGGGACTGGTGAGGAAATCTTGTCGCGTGGTCTCCCTACATCATCAATCGTTAGCTAGTCCCATGGAGAGAGACTATTCGAGAGGTTTTCATTATGTTTCGAAATCAACCCATATTCGAGCGATGTTCAAATGCGAAATAATATAAATGGTCAGAAGTACTTTGCGGATTGACCATCATCTGGATGTGGCGCCCGTGCGGAATCCAAATAATATCTGCGATTCGTCTTCTTTGCATTCAAAAAACAATAAAGGATCCCATGAATGGTGTATTTGTGATGCTTCCATATAAGGTTTTTTTTTTGGTGGGGAGAGGGGTACTACGAGATGAGACGCATGGTGTGCTTGCTGCTCATTAACAGTAGGTTAGAGCGAGGTAATGAAATTGAAGAGAAGAAAAGGAAGAACCACACCTATCCTGAAGGCGAATCCAGGATACGCGCCACGCGAAGCGCTTCTAGTGCGACACAGAGCCCAGTCTAGCCTCATAAGAGTCTTATGGCCTATGATGAGATACCGAGAAGGCACAGAAAGGCTTAGATATTTCTGATGATATGGGGCGAGAATACGGGCTCATAACGACAGTCACCACCGAAGAAAACTAGTAAAAGCCTTCCTGCGAAGGCCGATTGACAATAGAGGCAAGATAGAACCAGACGACGTACAAGAAATCATAGAAGATACCTTTCTACTTCCGAGACCCCCGAGCGAAGGACATCGTAGGACTTCAAGCTTGACGCACTGAAACGTGGTATCTGTGTACTTTGTCTGATTCGTATATCATTTCGGGCACAACGTTTCACCCACATAATTTACAGAATCTAGAGTCTAATTAAAAAAATAAAGGCGTCAAAGGAAAGAGAGGAGATGCACCATTATATTGTCCGTTCTGCTGTATTATTCCCTGAGAGAGATGCCAGCGATAAGAAGTATCGCTGTACTCATTCTGGGAACTGTGCCGCTGCTGATTCCAGAAGAACGACTAGTGTCCAAGACCAAACTTCAGTGCAAAAACCTGGTTGTACCGAGAGTCTTGACATTAAAAGACATTCATTGAAGGTCATGGTAAGATACCTTGTTCTGGTAAAAGTGAGGATCCAAGGCTCAAGAGCCTCAGCTCGAATTCAAAGTAGGGAGTAAGCAACATTCATATTTACCGGATCAAATGTCGCGAGCCTAGCTGGTCTTGGGCTCAGTTTGCAAGAGCTTGGGCTTGTTGAAAATGCAGCCCTAGAGGAAAGCTTGCTCAGGGCTTTCGGAGTTATCATAGTGAAATAAAGTAGGGGCACATTAAATAGCTATACATCAGCATTGAGAGATAATCTACATCTATGAGCATTTCGTCCCGCGATGCTGCCGCAATGGTGGGTGACGATGGACCCTGTTCATTTTCATTTTCCATATCCACCTCCCCTTCATCAAAAGCGACCAGGATCAGATCCTTATGGTACAGGCATTTGAGACACTACGGAGCCTGTCCCTTCAGCAGACTGTGTAAATTTACATAGAGATAGACCTGCAGACGAGAGAGTGCTCGCTCATTCGACACGGATGATGCCATAATGGCCGAACCCCTGCGACGCCGATGCTGGATATCGATGAGCGCTTTCCTAAAAGAAATGTATCGGACATTGACTGTGATCCAATGGAGATACATACCACCCACCACTGTACTACAATCTAGAACAGCCTCATGTGTTTGCAGGTAACGCCTTCCACGGGCAGGTGGGGTCAACGGATGAGCTAGTCGCTGATCTAGGATTTGGGATATTTGCACTGCTTGATGAGTCATGATAGCGATGTTTGCGGGAAGGAGCTAAAGTGAAGTCTGTAAGACTGTTTTTAGTTGCTCCTTGAACTATCAAAAATGAGTAAGATATTTATGAAGAAAATATGGAACAAACAATTCTCTAAAGTTCAGTGAGAACTTTGTCTTTTAGTGCTGGTGTTCGGTTCTTCTCGAAATGAAGCATATTTTTTTCAGGTTGAAGGACTGTTGGTATATTCAGCAACTTTATGACAAAAAAAAACTGATTCGGGGCATGACGTACTCATTGGGAGCATATGCGCATCTGATTCTATCGGTCTTGCTTGTACATGCTTCGAGTGCAACACGGAAGTCTTCGATTGGCATACAGGTCTTCGAGGGTGGGAGCGTTGTGCAGTGTCGACGCTCTTTTAGATGGAAATTCCTGTTTGGCACCATCTGCATACTAGAAGCTAATCAGATTCATGGACGATACTGGCGTGGAGCTGCGCATACCTTCAAATGATCTTGGTGGAGAGCCTCCAAGCGTGTCCGCTCTTCTTTAGTGAGTGTCAGACTGCCGATTTTATTTCTGTCATTGATACTTTTGCCACCAGAAGAGACTTTCTTGCAGAGCTCAAAGACAAAAGCGTCGACGATCTGTCCACAGGATGAGATTGATACAAGCGGGATAGTGAACACCCTGCAACTGGATCGTGCACTTGACCATTACATGTGTCGAGCTCCGTGTCTTTATGTTTTGTCTGTTTCGTACGTCAATTTCAGATACAGTTTTTCAAGCGCGTCGTATTCAGAATCTAGGGTCTAATTAACCAAATAAAGACGCGAAAGGAAAGAGGGGAGACGAACTATTTCATTGTCCATTCGGCTGAAGCATTCCTCTGGGGAAAGCATCCGAGACCTCGGCTTGTAGCATAAAGTTCTCACTTTAGGGAGCTCATTGCAAAGAAGTGTAGCGGTCCTCATTCTAGAAAGAGTAAGGTCTGGTACCGCTGCTGATGCTATAAGGATGACCTGCTTCAAAGAAATTATCAACTGAACATCTGCACAATTTCCTGGTTACATAGAGAAACTAGCGCTGAAGGCCATATGCTTTAGACTAAAGTTGTAGTAAAAACGGCGTCCAGGGCGAAACTGGAGCAGAAACAGTAAATACATGCAAAATCGGCGCCTGAGGTGATTGCCAGTAATTCAGTGCTTATCGATGGTTATCATGAATGAGTTGATCATATGCTCGGCCACATGAAAAGGTAAAAACATGACCGGAAGTCGTACCGGCATCAAGGATTAGCGCCGTCATTGATTGGCCGACGGCAACCGCAAGCTTTAACCGGTCTCAGCTCTCCGCGGATACATTCCGACCAGATGAGTAAAAAATTAAAATTAAAACTTGAGAAAAAAATATTCCAATTCTCGTAGAGAATTCGACGTCGACGTCGAGCGCAGATTTTTATCTTGTGCTAGTTTACCAATCAATATTGACGTCATGGGCTTGGCATTTCCATTAGGAGCTAACCCCCTGAAACGAAAACATAGCCAAATAAGCTTAATCAATCCGTCACGTTTCTCCTCTTTTTCTCCTTCCTTACTCCCGCCTACGCTGCTGCTGCGCCCGCCCGTCCCATCTCAAATCGCCGTTGGTCGCTCCTTCATTCACGATTTCCTTTTATCTTCTGCATCAAATCGTCCGGGATCTTTTACCTCATACCCATATACGACGCCACGTAAAAGAACGAAGATGCTGCTATTAAATGTCTTGTCCATACCCCTCCTCGTCGCTACCGCTGCCTCCGGTGAGCATGTATCACCCGCCTTTATGGATTTTCTGATACGTGGTAATAGCTTATTTTTTCGTAACGGAGCCCACGGAAGGTGGACAATGGCGGAACGGCGAAGTGAATGTGATATCCTGGGAAAAAGGCGTACTGGACGGTGTCGATTCATTTGATGTGGAGATGACGAGACTCAGCGAGGACGGGCTGACTTACATCGCTAGTACAGGTCCGTGCACATGTTCATTTTCCGAACCCTAACCCTGATCATGTTTACTAGTCCCTGCCGACAAAACCTCGCCTTCGTCATTAAACGTGTATATCACAGACATCCCAGCAGGCGACGACTACTTTTTACTCTTCCTCAACTCTACACACGGGGTCATGTATAACACTTCTCCTCGATTTAGCATCCTCAATTCTTCCAGCACCCCTACCTCCACGTCTGGTTCGAATCCTACGCCAGACAGTGCCGCTCCTACTGTCACGGTAAGCGGATCGCCGAATCCAACCCAGGGTTTTGTTACGACGTTTGCGGCTGTGTCGAGTGCGTTGCCGACGTTGGTGGAGTGGACAGCTCTCGTGGGTATAGGCGCAGCGCTGGTCGCCGGCCTTGGTGGTGCCCTATGCGTACTCTTCTAGTCTATTTCTTTGGTTTTATTTTCGCCTAGAATCGCCGGGTTTCCGTTCGATGTGTCGCGTCGCAATTGAAGGAAAATAAATAATTGTTGGATGGACCTCCCCCCGTTATACCTACTTTATATTTATTTCTCGGGCCTAATGTACTAGGATTCTATTACAAGCGCATTTCAAAACCAGAATGCATGATCGACGTGATTTTCTTGCTGCGCTGTGGGGAACACATTGTCCATCGACAAGCGTTTCGTAATACCTGAGTCTGTCGCCACCGCCGCATTGACGTACAGTGTCTCCGCTACCGGCGGGAGGAAACGACCCACATCGGGCGAATCCCGCAGTCCTCGGGTCGACATCTTACAGAGTTATTGAATAGATTTGTACCCAAAACTCTGGACGGCTTTCAGGTCACAGCTGAAAGTAATAGATGACCCTCGGTTCGAATGAAGTCGAAATTGAATATGTGCTTGTTGAACGTTCATCGATGTGATGTACTGAGCACAAAAATGAAAAAGCAAATCTACAAGTTATATGCATCAGCGGGGAATCGAACCCCGAACGCGGCCATACTACAGTGAACAGGTCGTATGGGAAGACCACATGTTAACCATTACACCACTGATGCATGATTGGGTTGAAGTATACATCGTCTATAGTGCAACAGTACCGACACTGTATCTCTTTATTTCGAAGTACCGTTACTTGGATCATAATTCTCTCGCTGGACAAAGCAAAGCAGCTTGTCGAATGTGTGGTCGCCATCTACATACTTTAGATTATGTTTCTCTCATGACTGGCATGAGTTTGAACCACAGGAGCCGTCTCCAAGTACAAACACATTTACAACACGCTGCCTTCTTCTACGTATCGGTAATTCTGTACCCTAACAAGTCACCTTGAAGATAAAAAGTCATGTGTGCTCGAGCAGGTCATTTTCGGGGTCGCGATATTCCATGATCAGTTCTCCTCCAGGACAGTCATCAGTGATAGGTTTGTACGCAAGGTCCTTAAAAATGCACCATCAGGGGGTGCGACACATTGTTGCCTGCGGCCAGTACACGATGCCGTGTGCACATTTCTTACACTCCATCTACTCCCCCATTCTGTCCCTGATATACACTATATGGCCGTGAGACTTCTGTTGAAGACAATGGACGGACTCATACAAGCTCCAGTTCCACACATAGATTACGATTAACGGACATAGGTCCAGTCCCAATGATACAGCAAGTAGAGTAGACCCAATCCAGAGTAAAATTCAGATACCATAAATATCCTCAACGCCCAATGCATCCTCGCAGCCAAACCACTCGAGCCACTCACTAACATGATACTTCGCTCTCCTCACAGGCCACCTCTCCAGCTCGAAACCCCCCTCTTCACCTTTCCTACCACTTTTCTTCTTCCTATGCACGGTCCAATATGACGGCCCGACCCTCACGACCTTCACCATCGGGAAGCCTTGCTCGATGATACCAGCAACCTCGCCAGTTCCCATCCCGTTCGTATCGAGGCCAACGAACCTCAAACCCGGGGGCACCCCGAGACGGAGATCCCGCATCCCAGCCACTAGCCCGTTGAGCGTGAGGCTCACGACGCTTCGAGGGATTAGCCACGCTGCCAAACCAGGGGCTAGATCCCTCGGGTAGGTGATCCCCAGTCCCTTGAGACCCGTCAGACTGGGTAGCACACCCCACACAGATGCATCGAAGCCTACAGCCTTCTGGATAGGCTCTGCAGGAACGAGAAGCGACAGCGTACGTAGGTCGACGCGGCCTCGTAGGAATTCTGCGATGGCTGGGAAGAGGTCGCGGTCTGTCAGTCGTCGGTTCATCGCTTGGACTGAAAAGGCGAAATGCCGGAGGAAGGGAAGCTCTCCTTGTGCGACACGAAATTGGGAAGACGGAGCGCAGTCGAGGAGGCAGGTGAGGGAGAGAGATTCCAGTTGTCTGCCGTGACTGAGGATCGTACCAATGGCCTGATTGTTGAGGGGGAATTGTCCAAGGAAATGGATGTGGGTGAGGTTCCGGAGCGAAAGAGCGTCGATGGGGAATGTCCAGGCTGGATTCTCCAGGGAGAGCGTCCGTAACGTCGAGCGATGCTGGGCAAGGAAAGCATGGGGGTTCTGTGCTCCTCCGTTGCCGCTACCACCACCGTGATATGCAAAGTTGGCGATATGGTTCAAAGTGAGGGTGCTTAGCTCGAACAGCCCATCGGGAACATGCAGCGAGAGACCATTCAGCTTTGGCGAACACGATTGGAGAATCCTTAGTACGGGAAGGACACCGTCGGCGCTCGAAGATATGTGTA